AACTGTTGGTCTCATGATAACCCATCACTACACACATGGTGGATCGTGCATTAATCACCGCTTAGCATCTGCATTTCATTTCATCAGTAATATATATATATAATGACACCGTGTGGATCGTCTGCATGAGATTGCCAATGGCAGACTCTGAATCCTAAACTCTAAGTTTTACAACCTAAACCCTTGATTCCCTGATCGACCTGTCTGTTCGTCGTGCCACATTGCCGTGCAGTGGCCCTTCCGGATCTGAGCCACTTGAGCGACTGCAATATAAGAGATGATCATATATGTTTAATGACGAGTTTCCATTCGAAACGGTTCTTTGCCGTCTTGCCGATGCCAATAAATTGAAGAAAAAAGGTCAACTGGATAGAATATATATCTTTCTACTACCTGGTTTAGACTATGTTAATCTTCCATGCCAGTATAGGCGGCCCGATATGTGCATGGGGAGCCTCTTTGCACTCAGCGCACCCTATGTGAAACATAGATACTGCACTACAAGTATAGCAAGCACTCACTGGCAATCCTTAATTATTTTGTGTGAATCTACGGGCTACCCTCAATGTTCTTCCGAATGCCAAATACGGCTGGAATACACTCGTGGAGTAATAAAACAAAGAGTATACTTACACTCAAGACTTTTGGGCTATTAGAATTCGAGGGATGTATTTTCCAATTTTACTTACAGGACTATTAACAGCTCTCCAAAAGCTAGAGTTGATGGAAGGAGATTTAACAACTGGTGAGAGATCTTCTGGTGTTTATAGTAGTAGTGACTATGATGTACTTAACCCTGAAACAGTTTGAGAGTCACACTAAAACACACAGGATCGATACACTTCACCCCATGGAAGTCTGTCGGAAACCAATTATTTCTATATCAGATTTCTAGCAAGCATAAATTATATCTTCTCCGAAGTCTCCCACAACCATATATCTATTTGAAGCCTTTTACAGCTAGTCTAAGTATATAGCGCTAGAATTCACAATGGTTTCTCTTAGTCATTCAACATATGTCTATCAAATACCTAACACGACCACGTCGGATGTGCAGTAATCTATGTCACCTATACTCTATCGTTCTACTTCTGGCCGGCCGTACTTTTAATCCAGGTCGTCGAGGATCACCTCGTATCATATCACCCGAGTGTCACTGATCCTGCTGTCATTGCTCGATACGGTGAATTCACCGCTGAATTGCCCAGTGTATATGATATGAGGGGTGCACCAGCGCCTGGCGAAATAAATAGAGAGTGGCTGAATGAACACGTTGCCAAGCATTAAAGCATATGTGCGAAGCGGAGTAATCGATGATATCCCCAAGGTATGGCCACAGATTGGTACCTTTTGGATTGTGTTCTATTACATACGTGTGTATTAAAAATATATTCATAAAACTTCAACTCTGAACTTATTTCCGAGTTCGAGAGTTTGAATAAAAGGAAACATAAGTGAGCTATTAGCTTGAACCATCTTTTGTAACCTTCGTCCCCATTCAGAATTTCTCTGGAAT